TGGAGGCAAAAGTAGAACAGGGGTCCGGGCTGATCCCATCAGACGAGAGGTGACCTATGTGACCTGGCCTGACCCAGAGTGACCAGGGCTGACCCCTATGACCCGTCTTGACCCCGTATCACCCAACTTTCATCCAAGGAAGTCCTCAGAGCAGTATTTTTTAAATTCTCTTCACATTTCCGTCCATATCTATGCTTCTAGACGACACATCGACATGAATCAAACACCATTCGAAAGCAAATTGGCTGGTGCCGCAATTTTTTCCTACCACGCAGCAAAGCAAGTGGCGCAGCCGCTTGTCTATACTACTATTTGAACAGGATCCATCTGTTTGTTTGTTTGTTTGTCCGCCACGCCGTGTAGTGGGTTCAATTTAGCCGGCCTACAGGGCAGACGGTATATCGTAGGGGGTTGAAATTTGCACACCTTCTAGGTGACAGAGCGGGTCAGCGCCTTTTCTAGGTTCCGACTCGCTGGGGTGCACGGTTCGCGCGTGGGGCGCGCTGGAAGAACGCCACTGAAATTTTGATCGGTTCGTAGATCTTCATTGAGAGCCGGGGTCGAAGAACTTTGTGGACTAAATGCATGCCGATCGGCGGCGAGTGCCTCGCATTGGCGGATCGGCAAGTTATTAATTTGAATGAAAAGTGGCGAGAGATTGTGCAGATTTTCGTTGAATGGCAACAGTTTGTGATAGCAATTTACAAATGCACCGCGTTTGCCGCAATGCGTCACATTGGTTACAACGCGCCATTTTTGCCGCAAATCGCACAGTTTTGTCAAATATGGCCCGATAAGGGTGCAATTTGGTGCCAAGGTGCATGCTCAATCGCCGGGTGAAAATGCGCCGCGTTTGTCGTAGTGCGCCACATATGCCACAAAGCGCCATTTCCGACAAATACGATTAAGCGTAATGGAATGGCACGAATAGGGGCAGGGCTGGGAACACTCTAAGTCTAATATTTTAGTACTGATTGGATCCAATTATTCTGTGACCTGACATGACCCAGCGGTGTTGGTAGGGGTATGGGTAGGGGTAGGGGTAGTGGTAGGGGTAGTGGTAGGGGTAGGGTCGTGGTAGGGTTGGGGGTAGGGGTAGTGGTAGGAGTAGTAGTAGGGGTAGGGGTAGTGGTAGGGGTAGTAGTAGGGGTAGGGGTAGTAGTAGGGGTAGGGGTAGTAGTAGGGGTAGGGGTAGGGGTAGATGTAGGGGTAGGGGTAGTGGTAGGGGTAGGAGTATGGGTAGTAGTAGTGGTAGGGGTAGTGGTAGGGTAGTGGTAGGGGTAGGAGTATGGGTAGGAGTAGTGGTAGGGGTAGGGGTAGTGGTATGGGTAGGGGTAGTGGTAGGGGTAGGGGTAGTGGTAGGGGTAGTGGTAGGGTTAGGGGTAGGGGTAGGGGTAGTGGTAGGGGTAGGGGGTAGTGGTGGAGGCAAAAGTAGAATTGTGGCCCGGGCTAATCCCATCGGACGAGAGGTGACCTATGTGACCTGGCCTGACCCAAAGTGACCGGGGCTGACTCCCTTGGCCTTTCTAGACCCCGTATCAGCCAAATTTCATCCAACAAATCCCTCTGAAGTTCTTTTTTAATTCTCTTCACATTTCCGTCCATATCTATGCTTCTAGACGACACATAGATTTCAATCGAGCACCATTCGATAGCAAATTGGCTGGTGCCGCAATTTTTTACTACCACGCAGCAAAGCAAGTGGCGCAGCCGCTTGTCTATATTACTATTTGAGGAGGGCGTAGTTTCTGTCTATTACGAAGGTCGCGACATGGTGCTACGTAGCGCGGGTTACAGATCACACCGTTGCACCTACCGCGCTGAAATTTGCGCAAGTTATAGAACAAGGATGGACAACGTGCCTTTGAGCGGTCTCGGCTCGATCGGATCGATAGCGAGCGCGTGGCGCGTGCCCAAAAAGTGCAAATTCGCGTCATAGACTTTACATGTATAAATCGGCTGGCAAAAACGGGCGAAAATGGCTAAATTTGCCCGACACGGGTCCGTTCCCCGTGCAATATCTCGGTAGCCGTGCGCCCGATCGGCACGGGGAAAACAGCATCGTGTAGAGAATCGAACGGGCAATCGAATAGTGTGCGGTGCAGGGGTGGCACGCGCCACGTGCAAGTGTGAGGGCAATTTCATTTCAAAAAGTGCCATTTTAAACGGATTTTGGAATTTATATTAATTTCAGGTGATCGTCAGACGGAATGAGTTGAAACAGCGCCTATTAGCAATAAAAATGTACCGCCTCTCATGGAAAAATTGTGGACAGCTAATTGACCAAAAACAATGTGGAAAAAATCGCTGAATTAAAATGGTATTTGTCCATAATGTGCCACTAAAAAGATACACGGGATTTGCTGCTTAACCTGATACGCTTGACAATTGAAAATGCTATCATTAGAAAGAGCATTCAATTCTCTCCAAGATCCAATCATCACGTTTGCATGACAAGCAACAGTATTCTTAAAAATATAAATGTTTTAAACCTCTGCAAAACGATTTTTAGCGAAAATTATCTACGCCTTTCATTTGTCTTAAAACTACGCACCTCAATTATAAAGCACATTTGACAGATTCTGAAGTGGAAAGCATGCTTATCAGACACGGGCACCTCGATGCGGTGGATATTTTTTCCACAAACCAAAACGTTTAGCCGTCAAAAAGCAATCGACCGAAATGGATAGATAACCCAACCGACACAAGAACAACCGAACACCCGCCGATCGAAAATATCCCTTTTCGCGTTGCGGAGCACGCGGGTCACCCTAGTCTTTTACTAAAACGTTTGGTAGCACGCGGTGGTATATGCTGCTTTGCGCGCAACAAGTGCCGCACTTTCAAATAAAGTCGCTAGGAACAGCGGAGATCCCAAAAAGTAAACAAAAGTAAAAGTCTAATATCTTGAAAACCGGTGAATATTTTTCGATGAAATTTGGTAGATATTCGTTTCCGCTCTTTCTGAACCGAGCAACATCACTTTCATGCCAATTCATTACCTTTTTTGAAGGTGGGAGCAGGGAGGGTCCCCTTAATGAAATCGAGTTTGAATAGAAAAGCACGTTCAAATGGTTAATTTGCGGTTGCAATGAAATGTTCAGGTTAGGTTAGGTTTATTTTGCTTTCTCGCTCGTCAATGGCCAATTTTGAACTATAAAAGCCTGTCGATGACAATGGCTGAGTGAGCTTAGAATGAACGAGGGACGCACGCCGTATGCCCGCCCACACAGGAAATCTAGAAAAAGCAAAGTAGTGAGGCGGCAGTAGGAAACGAATTTCGAATGTTCTCACGGTTTAAAAGCATGCATCACTCATTTGTTTTCGACTTTCGTCCATCCTAAAATAACATCCATTAAAAAAAAAAAACTCAACACCTCAAGCCCATTCGATCCACAGGTCAACGCTCGGATCTCTCACCTGTTGCATCTGCCTCGTGACTATCTTGCCAGCCGGCCGCACTCCCGGCGAATCACTACAATCCTCCACTGCCCCCTCCAAGGAGTCCGTGCCACTCTCTGCCGTCGACACCGGACACTGGCGCCGAGGTAAGACGAGCCGACACTCGGACGCTGAGCTTTCTCTCCGGCGCGTGCGTCGATGGAGACGCGACGGGCGTCATCCCCCGCGCTCCCAGGAGGGGGATGATGACGCTGGAAGGAGCATCAGGTGGGCGGAATCAAGTGGCTAGGATAGTCGTGGTTGATGTTTTTTAATAGTATTTGCTGGGTGATGAGTTTAATGATGGATGGACATTGATGAGGAAGACGCCGAGCTTTGTGTACCGTAGTGGACAATATGAAACCATATTCGCATGATTGGTATTGCTCATATTGCTTATTTGGTATTGTTCAGTCATAACAACAAAAACATATACCGACTTGAATTATGATCATGTTAAATAAAACGAACTTGGGTCGAAATAAAACAGAACGAGGGCCTTACCTACAAGTGCGCAAACACGGCAAAATCACAAAGTATTCAGTATTGCAAAATGCAAAATTCATAACCCGTTCCATCTCCGCACTCTTATTTTTCTCCGTGTAATTTCGGCTTCGATGAGCACATAATTTGAGTGCCCACTTCCAAATAAATGCCTATACCAGAGGTTTCATGGGCGTAGGAACGTCACGAAATCTGTGTGTTTTTTTTGGGGGGGGGCAGCGAAACTTCAATGTCACTTTGTGGGAGCCCCAATACCTCTATGAAGAAATTATTTGCAGTTTTGCGCTCATCTCACCTTGCTGAATCATTTCCTGATCTTATTTTTTAATTTAAATTAAAAATAAAGATTTTACATTTAAAAAATGGCTGAAAAGTGGGGGACCATTGCCCCCCCCGGCCCCCTGTTTCTACGTCTATGACAGGTTTTCAAAGTATTTCGTCCTTGCTCAAGATGAGATGGAAACCCGTGCACCCTTATACCATCTTATATCATTCGACCTTCCAGTGTTCCGGGAATATGTATAATGTAGCCAACAAAAACGGCGAAAGACAATCGTCACATTCATCTCTTTTCCAGCATCCACGCAGTGATTAGGCAATGGGGACGACTGCGGCGCACAATGCGCTGTGACAATTGCGGCATGTTATCACATTAATGTCGCCAGTGATGGATTGCGTGTAAATCTAGATCAGAGGTATTGTGGAGATGTTCCCCTAGCCTAGGGAGTTTTTCTGAGAAAATACATAACCTTCGAGATGACAAATTATACTTATAATAACGACCCGGCCATTTTATAAGCTTGCTATTAGCACAGATTTTTACAAACGATATAGGACAATAGAAGATCCAAGAATTTTTTTCGAAATCGACCACTGACCAGGTAAAAAATAAATGGAAATCAATATTATCGAGGTCGAGTACTGCAGCACGGACCTCATTCCTCTTCTTACTCCCCGCCTCTTTTCGTCTATTCTAACTATGTCACCCCCTTCTCTTTCTCTCATGCTTTTTTCTACTCATACTGTTTTCCTCATCCTCATGTTCCTATTCCCACCTTCTTCTTCCTTTTCTCCGTTCTCTTCGTTCACCTCCCTTTTCCTTCTTCTTCTCCACACTGCTCCACGAGTAAGAGGGAAACACTCCGATTGGAATTGCTATGCCTAGCTGTGATTGTCATGTTTCAGAAGTTACTTATTTTACACTAGTCTTATCATGTTAAAAATATAACTCGGTTTGAAGGTCCAAGAACCCTGCAACATGGCGCATGTTGAGTATCCCGTGTAGTACCAAAACATTTATTTATTTATTTATTTATTTATTTATTTATTTATTTATTTTACATCATCCGGTCAATCCGCAATAATTGGGCTATTCACAGACCGTTGTCATACAAGATAAAAGACACTCATATCATATCACATATTGTAAATCATATCGCGGAAATAAATATAATGAAGGGAAGTTATAAAATACCAAGGATTCAATTATTCAGAAATAACATTTTGGACCTTCCATGGCATCTTTCATCCGGCACAAGTTTTATAAGTATCACCACAGTGTGACTCACAAGAGAATCGATAAAGATTTAATTATTGTTGGAATTATTAATTATCATTGTTGGAATCATCATCCACCAACTCGAAGAAGATGGTGCCATGCAATCTGGCGAAGATACCGCCTCCGCCACCGCCTCCGCCACCCCCACCGCCTCCGCCTCCACCACCGCCGCCTCCGCCACCGCCACCACCGCCACCGCCTCCGCCACCGCCGCCACCGCCGCCTCCGCCTCCGCCTCCGCCTCCGTCTCCTCCGCCGCCGCCGCCGCCACCGCCGCCGCCGCCAGCTATGGAAAAAAATATTTCAAAGTGTGCCCTGGATTTCGTGATTTATTTCGTTGTCCTGCTGTTTCAAAGATATCCAGTATTTAGAATATAAAGATCGTAAGCCAATGGAAATTTAACCCTCGCCCCGTTGGGGGGGGGCATTTTGGCCCCCCCCCTGTGGTTTTTCCTGAATAGCAAGGAAACGGCGGCGCACAGCGCCGCCAAATTTTCAGTACCTTCCCGGGCATCAATTTGACACCTTCACACCAAATTTCAAGTCTTAGGTCACCTTAGGTCAGGAGTTATTGAGGTCAAACTGAGGTCATGTTCGAGCAAAAATGAGCAAAAAACATGCAATCTTGAAACGCTCACCAAATCTACAGTTATCAAGCAATTTCGAAGTTCTTTATATTGTCTAGTAGACAAAAGGCGGCGCTACAAAACTGCAATCTCGGATTTTCAAAATTTTGGGTTTTGACCCCGAAAAATTCAAAAAATTGATTTTTTTAGAAAAACTAAAACAAATCCAATATTTTTCCGAATTTCGAAAAAACCGGAACATATGTGATAGTCCCTGCGCTATTCTATATACATACCAAATTTCAGATCGATATCTCGTTTTTTGGCCAAGTTATAGCGAAAAAACTGTTCAAAAATGATGACGTCAAATTTTTGAACTCAATTTTTAGCGATTCTAGACCACGTACGGTAAAACAAAGACCACCATTGAACTCCCCGTGACGAGCTGCATCGATTCGATAACCATTTTATGCAAAAATATCAACTTTGAAATTTGACCTAATTTGACCTGACCTTGACCTGACCTTGACCAAAACGTGACCTAAGCTGGCCCCAAAGGCTGCCTGACCCACATAATCGCATTTCTCATGTAAAATGGACCATAAAACATGTATCACACGACACTTTCATATTGTGCCCCCCAGTGACCTGACCTCTGTGACCTGATCTGGTATCAGTGACCTCAAATAGCAAAATATGTGTTTGAAGAACATTTCCCCATCGATGATTTTCAATGAAATGCATCTTACTCGATTTTACTACGCATTTCTTGAAATGCCTGTAAACGGTGAAAATTGGACCTTTAACCTGACCTGTGACGTCATCGGTTTGACCTAGGTCAATAAAATTGGGTCACAAGGTAGTTCCCTGATAGGGCTATCCAACACCGTTTGCCGCTTGTCGCTAGGTTGCGTGGTTCTCGAGATCTTAGGGGGGGCAAAATGCCCCCCCCCCAACAGGGCGCGTTGCTCGGCAGAGCCCAACGGGGCGCGGGTTAAAAATGAGTTTGGCAAGTGAAACTAGTCTACAAATCTATTATGGTCAGCTTGCTTGCCACGGGTTCTAACTTGATCTTGCCTGAGTAAATCTGACAATATAATTAGCAAACAGAATTAAATGCAGCCTTCCATTTCTTTAAATAAATAAAAATGTTGGGTGCCTTTCGATCTCTCGTCTGCTGAAATCATGACGCCATGCTGTATATATTTACTCCGATTCGAACCAAAGAAAGCTATTATCCAACTGCTAAATGACAAGGATTATGTGCTAAACCGGTAAATTTTCTCTTTGAATTGAGTCTTGAGAGAAGGAATTTAGACCACTCACGTGCGGCGGAGACGGCGGATAGCAGTGTCACCAGGAGTGCTGCCAACAGAAGCAGCTGAGTGAACAGTTTCATGGTGAGTGTGACGACTCGGACGCCCAGGCCATGTTATATAGCGCTGCCGCCATCCTTATTGGGGGTCAGATATAGGCCGGAAAGTACCGATAGTTACATGCAGGAGGCCCGGTTCTTGCAAGAGAGGTACATACCACAGAGGACGACCTTGAGAGTCCAAAATGCGCTTCAGTTAACAATGAAATGTGCAAGGGAATACACTGCACAAAGGAGTGCTCCAGAAAAATATGTGCTTACGAACACATATAAGCTTGTAGAAGCTTTTTTTGGGACCATAATCTCACACGCTGCTATGCATAGCAGCGTCCAACACCATCCTTATGCATGCACGATCAAGAATGATCATGTGTTAATTTTTAATGCAGTTAAAATGGTGTTTTGCGACACAAGCCGGTTTCCAAATCCGATTTCAAGCGAGATTAACATTCGCATGTATGGGCAATGGTCGCATGGAATTCAATCGTACAATAGTTCCGGAGAAAAGCGAAAAAAACAGCATTTTTAACAGAAATGCATCAAACTTAATTGAAACTCCAAAAATGTATCTAGAATTCGTGCTGCAGATAATGACCCAAGTAGACGTAACATATTCACAGCTGCCTGTTTTCAACAGATGGATACACGTAAAAACACCACCGCTCTCCGCTGGTTCGTATCTAGAGACTGAACCTAGCCATCCTGCCGTATCAATTAGTGTGTACTGTGTCTGAGTATTGCGTCTCCAAGCTTCGCTCACTGTTTCACCAGCTATATAGAAGCCTGTCTCCACAAAGCAGAGGCTGTCTCCATCAGAACCCCGGAGCTCCCGGGTTTCCAGATCCTCCCGGAGCCGGGGAGGTCCCGGGAGCTTCTCCGGATGGTCTTGAACTGGGCAGAACACCTCCACTTCCTCCGGGCTGTCCCGGCCGGCCCGAATCTCCTCCGGAGCCGCCGAAAGACCCGGGGCCTCCTGAGCTGCCGCCACCGCCGCCGAAACCGCCAAAACCACCAAAACCGCCAAAGCCACCAAAACCACCGCCAAAACTGTCAAAACCGCCAAAACCACCGTCTCCACCGCCAAAACCACCACCTCCTCCACCGAAACCTCCACCGCCACCGCCTGCAAGTGCAGTCGTGTCAGAAATAATGTCTATTGCCATACAGTGTCTACCTCCTGTATGAATATCTTTTGTTATATTCCCAAAACTGTATTACAAGATTCAATTCAGTGATGTTTTTGTTTCTTCTTGTTTTATGTTATATTACAGTGTAACCGAAGTTTTGTGTTCAATCGTAACAAGTGCTTTGGTTAGAATTTTTTCTCGTGAAAGACAAACTTGAGTCCCGGTATTCTTACTTAGTTGAAAATGTTTTCGAACTTAAAGCATTATGATTTATGTGATACTGCATGCCATTAGATTTCTCATCCAACATCGAACAAAAAGAAACAGCTTGCATTACATTTAGGTTCGAATTCACTGCAAATTTCAAATATAACAAGTGCCTTCATTCCCTGCTTTGCTGCCTACCTTAGGCTGACATGGCCACAACCAGCGCTATCACCACCAGAAGCGTTCGCATGCTGGTGACTGAGGCCTCCGAATCGTGCAGCGGTTATGTACCCGTGCCCCCGGCTTTATTTGCCCTTGGTGTCATCTTCCTTCCATACCAGTCACCGCCAGTCAAATCACAACTCTGGGGGCAGTTTTCCTCTGGCGATGTTAAGTCGGGGGCCAACTGTAGAGGAGCGGGGTTGAAGGGTAAATGGAAGTCAGATCGGCTGATTTAGGGGCCCCTTTGCGACGTCTAGAAAAGTGAAGCAAGTTGAGGTCAGGTGAGGCGAGGCAAGGTGAGGTGATGTCGATAAACAAACAGCGGGCTGCCCATGCCGAGTACCGGGTTCTCGGAAAGTTGTCAGCCACTGCGCACTGGAAATGCCGAGCGTCGTAAGCCGGGCTGCACTGCGAGACGGGTTATGGTGTGTTAAGTATGATATGAAGGAAATATCATATATGTAGTGAATACAAAGAGTGTCTAGCACACAGATCACCGAATGTGTGGATTGGGAAATGCGAATCACTGAAAATTGAGATGAGTTTTTACAAATAACAAGGGTCATTAGACTTGATTTTCATTCGCGTTTCAATTTTCATTGCGAAAGAATTTCATGTTTAGGATCTAATAAGATATAGAAATACCTAAATAATGCATGAAATGAATGAGACTTTCGTGCATTGACATCCTTAAGCAGTGTAACATATTCATTTGCACCAAATGAACACCAGTCAAGTCAAGGGTGTTGACAGTTTTGAGCATATGAACATTGGAGCCCCAGACATCCCCCGAGCGTCGGAAGACGCACCTAGATGAAGCAACGCTGTGGAAGGACCAGCACGCGGTTTTTCCGCATATTTCTTCCAGTTACTTGGTAACCACCGCGAATGCTCCGAGAAGGGGCGGAGTTTCAGAGGCGCCGTGAGGCCCACCCCGTGTTGAAATGGGCGGAGCTTTGGGACACTGAGAGGCCCACCTGCGGGGATCAGAGGGGGCTCGGTCCACCCGGCTGGTATATGTAAAGGGCCGGGTGCTGATGGAGGCCTCCCCCGTCCGTCGTTTCCGTCCTCAGGGTGTTCAAATTCTTCTCCACC